ATAATAATAGTTTTTAAATTATCATACTGTAAAATATTTAACCTGATTTAATATTTTCAACGATTTATTTATGATTTTTTTTTTTTTTGGGGGGGGGAGGATAAGACACGCCATTTTTTCTCTCTCTTTCTTTCTGGTATAAACTATCGTGACTCGCGTTAATTTAAAAAAAAAAAACATACTTCCTTACCAATTACATACATTATCATTATTATTATGAATATTTCATCAAAGTTTTAAAAAAAAAAAAAATTATTATTTAAATGTTACATATCTGGTTTTGATTTTGAAATCAATATAACAAATATTCATGAATTTTCCCTTACGGTAGGTGGTCGGTGATCGGACGTCCCCCCTCTCCTCCCCTTTTTCCCAACTTTTTCCCTTCTTACTCCCCTTAAAAAAAAAAGGGAAAAATTCAAGGTGACCCCACCGCTGTTGTGTAAATTTATCCAGTTAATTTTATTTTTTTTTATTTATCACTTCCAGTGTGTGAGTGAATGAATGTGTTGCTTCCAGCAAATGTTACCGGTTTAATTTATCACGCGAAAGTTTATTTATTAAATTCAGGTACGATAAAATAGGTATATATAAAAAAGGAGAAAGTTAAATATGTTTAAATAGATGAGTGGAAATTATACAGGTTTCGGTTCAAAATCATCATCATCATCATTATCTTATAATCCGTGGGCAAGTAAATCATGGGAATCTGCCTACTCGTGGCAAAAAGAACGAGTGAGTGAGTTTTTCAAATTATTTATTATTTCATTTTCTCTCTCTCTCTCTCTCTCTCTTTCTGCGTGCGTGTGCGTGTGCGTGTGCGTGTGCGTTATATATATATATATAAAAAAAAAAAAAACCCGAGTTTCGAATTTGAAAACATTGTAAATTTTTTTTTTTTTACGTGATATATACACAAACAAGGTGAAGATATATATATTTTTATTTTTGTTAAATAGTTTAAATGGATAGAGACTACGCCATTTTTATTTTTATTGACAAACGAATCGAAAAAAAAATTTAAATTATTAACAAATCTAACTAAATTAGTATAATCGTAACGGATTTTTTTTTCAAACGAAAACCGCCAAATAATAATAATAATAATTTTTATCGATAGGAAAAGTGTCAAGGAAGGGCGTTAATTGTCAAATAATTTTAAATATTAATAATGATAATAATAATGATAAAAACGTTATGTAAGTTTTACATCCTCCGCATTTACAACTAAAAACTCATAACCTTATTTATTTATTTAAAATAAGGAAACAAACACGACAAACACGCCATTTTCATTTCATTAATAATAATAATAATTAATTAACTTAATAAGATTTGAGTGAAATTTTCTTTTTATTTAAATACTCGGGAATGAATTTAATAATAATAATAATAATAATAATAATAATAAATTTTTGTTTAAAAAAATAAAAGAAAAGATGATTAGTATCATGTATGATGGAAATGATAATAAATCATAAAAAAAAAAAAATGTAGAACAATTATTGATTTGTTTTCTCTTTTTTTTTTGTTGTTTTGTTTTTTTTTAAATGTTGAAATGCACGAAATAATTGACCTGAAAAAAAAACAATAAAACAATAAAAACAATAAAAAAAAAACAATGCATTTGTTTGAATTGATAAAAAAAAAAAATAAAAAAATAGATTAATAAATAATGAATTGCTTTCAGTTGAGCTTTGACCTATTAACGAGTGAATATATTAATAATTATTTAATTAATTTTTTAAAATAACATATTAATTAATCATCGAATCGAAATAATCAAAGGAAAATTTTTTTTTTTCCATAAATATATAACCGGAAAATTCATTGAAAATTTTTTTCTTTTTTTTTCGGCCTCGGAAAATATTAATAATAATAATAATTTTTTTACGTAGTGAACATACATGGTAAAATATTTTTTTTTTGTTGATTTTTTTTCGTATTTGTCATCGTGTTGTTATTTCCCCCTTCCCCTCTCCCCAATAATTAATTATTTATTTATTTATGTATAATTCATATTTGTCGTCGTCGTTGTCGTCTGCTACGTCGCCTCGTTTTGTATCATAATTAATAAATAAATAATTTGACGTATTTAAATTTTTATGATTCGTTATTTTTTTTTCTTTGCAATAATTATTCAAAATTAAAAAATTTTCTTTTGTGTTTGCGTGTCCTTCGGGATATCTTCCAATTTAAATATTGATTTGACCCCCCCACCCCTCCCTCACCCCCTCCTTTCTTTTGCTATGTTTTTAAAAAATAATAATAATAATATTTCTTTACTCTCGTACTCGATTTATTTGTAGGGGATTCGACCATCGAATTATTAATTTTTTTGTTAATTTATTTATTTATTGTAGAACAACAACAACAAAATTATGTTTTTTAAATTTTTTGTTTTTATGTTCGTTGATAACACAACGTTTGAAAAACAACTTTAAAGTTTTTTTTTTTTAAATGTTGTAATTTTTATATTTGGTTATGTATTAATTGATATTTAACTTATTTAAATATTAAAAAAAAAATCAAGACAATATTTTAAGTGGGTTGTTATAAAGTAGTCGACCAAAAAGATAGAAAAAGATAGAAAAATATACGTTAAATAATAATGATAATAATGATAATTATATAAAAATAATTGTACGAGGTCAAACACTCTTACTTATAATGTTACTACTTACCTTATTAAGTATTTCGAAGGATATCAAAATTTATTATTATTATTATTATTATTAAAAGCCTGTTTTTGTTAATTAAACATTATGAAATGATTTTTTTTTTGAGAGGGGAGGGGGGGAAAAAGAAATGTAAACACACAAAATAAAGAATAAGTAGATAAAAAAATGATTTCAGGCAAGGTTTCAACAAAAACAACTACGAGAAAAAGAAGAAAAATTAATAAAATTATATGACGAACAACAAAAAAGAG